TCTCCCTGGGGTACAAAGGCAGTCCTCATAGGAGCCACTGCAGAGTCTGTGAGCCTCAGCTGAGCTCATTGCTGCCATAAGGTGAAAGGAATTTGGAACCCGAGGGCCTTACAAGGTCCTGCATGGTCCTTTGTCCTGAGAGAGATTATATATACATGCCTAACATTGGCACTACCATACACATAAAAGAGTGACAAGGGAATAATATTCATCTAACATAAATCAGATCTCAAACACTATGATGATTTTGAGGTAGGGCCAATTCATGTCCATGATCATCTTGAGTTTTCAGCAGTCTTGCTTCAGTCTCTTAAGCATTTATATTAGTGATGTGGACCACTAATCAGATCTTCTTTCAATTTTTAAGGGTACAATGATATAATACTAAATATATGTTGGGGGATATTTGATCATACTGAGAAACCCAAGTTTGCATTTTCATTAATTAAATAAAATTAACCTTGGGTTGGGAGGCTGAGTTATCATCTAGTTGACAGAAAGTAATAATAGATCATCAGAAGGCATCTTGAAGAGACAGAGAGAAGCACTGGAAGGAGTAGGGAGGGGTTTTGAGTGGTGCAGCTTTTTGGGGGGGAAGGGGGGAAGCAGAAAGACGTGTTTCTGGGAGACACTAGCTATGAGAGAGGGCTAGATAGTTGCTACTCAGCCTCTCTGAGCTAGCAGGTATTCACTTAAGCCTTTGACTCTGGAGTTTTACTTCTAAATAGAATGATAGCGGGTTAGTTAAAGCTACCTTTAGCAGCAATGACAGAGCCAGTTCCAGAGGGAACAGAATTCCTGCCAGGCTGCCATTAGAGAAGCAGGCAGGTAACTGTGGAGTTGCAATTGCTGACAGAAAAGGCAGTAGATTAAGGTGCAGCCAACTGTGCCGAAGTTGAAACAACAAATATATCTATATTGTTGGAAAGTAGTGTGCTGTGGATATTGTTCTATATAAATAAAACACTGGTGGCCAGTGACAAGGCAGGAAGTAGGTGGGACAAGGAGAGAGGAGAATTCTGGGAAGCGGAAGGCTGAGGGGA